GAGGGATGAGCAGAAACGCGACGGGGACGAGAAACAAATCGAGGTGGGTTTTTTTTTTTTCCCAGGAGAATTCTTCCCAAACACGACTTTGGAGGGAAAAGCGGGAATTTCCCGGTTGGATTCGGGCAGGAAGGAACCCTTTGGACTCAAAGCAGAGCGGGAAAGATCTGATGGATCCCAGAAAACCACCCAGTGCCAGGGGCAGTTTGGGATGGAGGGGGTTTAAAAACCCATCCAAGCCCCATTCCATGGGCAGGGATTTGGGATGGAAGGAGTTTAAAACCCACCCAATCCCACTCCATGGGCAGGGATTTGGGATGAGGGGCTTTAAAACCCATCCAATCCCACTCCATGGGCAGGGATTTGGGATGGAAGGAGTGTAAAACCCCATCCAATGGGCAGGGATTTGGGATGGAAGGAGTTTAAAACCCATCCAATCCCACCCCATGGGCAGGGATTTGGGATGGAGGGGCTTTAAAACCCTATCCAATCCCATTCCATGGGCAGGGATTTGGGATGGAGGAGCTTTAAAACCCACCCAATCCCACTCCATGGGCAGGGATTTGGGATGGAAGGCGTTTAAGGACCATCCAATCCCACCCCAAAGCAAGGACAATTTGGGATGAAGGGGTTTTAAAACCCACCCAATCCTACCCCCTGGGTGAGATTTGGGATGAGGGGCTTTAAAACCCATCCAATCCCACTCCATGGGCAGGGATTTGGGATGGAGGGGCTCTAAGAACCATCAGTCCCAGGGGCAGCTTGGGATGAAGGGGCTTTAAAACCCATCCAATGGGCAGGAATTTGGGATGGAGGAGCTTTAAAACCCACCCAATCCTACCCCTTGGGTGAGATTTGGGATGGAGGGGGTTTAAAATCCATCCAACCCCAGTCCATGGGCAGGGATTTGGGATGAGGGGCTTTAAAACCCATCCAATTCCACCCCTGCAGGACAGGAATTTGGGATGGGAAGGCTTTAAGGACCATCCAATCCCATCCCAAAGCAGGGACAGTTTGGGATGAAGGGGCTTTAAAACCCATCCAATCCCACCCCAAAGCAGGGACAGTTTGGATGAAGGGGCTTTAAAACCCATCCAATCCCATCCCAAAAGAGGGACAGTTTGGGATGGAGGGGCTTTAAAACCCATCCAATCCCACCCCAAAGCAGGGACAGTTTGGGATGGAGGGGCTTTAAAACCCATCCAATCCCATCCCAAAGCAGGGACAGTTTGGATGGAGGGGCTTTAAAACCCATCCAATCCCATCCCAAAGCAGGGACAGTTTGGATGGAGGGGCTTTAAGGCCCGTCCAATCGCACCCCTGCAGGGTAGGGATTTGGGATGGAGGGGCTTCCCGGAGCATCCAATCCCACCCCCCGCCCCGGGTAGGGGCAGTTCCCTGGCGGGATCGCTCCGGGCTGTCCCGGGCGGGTTCCGGGGCACCGGGAACAGCGGCCGCGGGTCCCCCGGGGGTGACACGGCCGGGGCCGGGCCCAGCGGGGGGTGAGGGCAGGGTGAGCCCCGCGCTGTGCCCCCGGCCCGGGCGGCCCCGCGCTGCCCCCGGCGTTGTCCCGCCGCCCCGGTTGAGCCCCGTTTCCCTCCCCGGTTCCCCCCCGGTCCCTCCCCGCTCACCCCGCACCCTCCAGCCGCCGCCATCGCCCCGCGCCGCCCGTGACCTTCGCGCGGCGCCGCGCGGTGACGTCACTGCCGCGCGACGGGCACGGCCACGGGGGCGGGAAGGGAAAGGGACGGGGAAGGGACGGGGAAGGGATGGCGGGTTCGCTTTTCGGGGGGACAGACAGACAAACAGACACCCCCCAGGGACAGAGGGACACCCAGACATCCCCAGGGGACAGAGGGACATCCAGAGACACCCCCAGGGGACAGAGGGACAAACAGACACACCCAGGGGACAGAGGGACACCCAGACACTCCCGGGGGGACAGAGGGACAAACAGACACCCCCGAGGGGCAGAGGGACACCCGGAGACGTCCTTGAGGGACAGAGGGACACCCGGACACCCCTGGGGGACAGAGGGACAAACAGACACCCCCAAGGGGCAGAGGGACACCCGGACACCCCCGAGGGGCAGAGGGACACCCGGAGACAGCCCTGAGGGACAGAGGGACACCCGGACACCCCTGGGGGATAGAGGGACATCCAGACACACCCGGGAGACAGAGGGACAAACAGACACCTCCGAGGGGCAGAGGGACACCCAGAGACATCCCTGAGGGACAGAGGGACACCCAGAGACACCCAGAGACATCCCTGAGGGACAGAGGGACCCCCCAGACACACCCCCAAGGGACAGAGGGACACCCAGAGACATTCAGAGGCACAGCCGGGGGACAGAGGGACACTCGGAGACACCCCAGGGGGACAGAGGGACAGCCAGAGACACACCCGGGGGGGACAGAGGGACACCCAGAGACATCCAGAAACACCCCCAGGGGACAGAGGGACAGCCAGAGACACCCGTGGGGGGGACAGAGGGACACCCGGAGACATCCAGAAACACCCCCAGGGGACAGAGGGACACCCAGAGGGACTGGGCTGAGTTCACTGAGAGCCGAGTTTACCCAGGGCTGAGTTCACTGAGAGCTGAGCTGACTGGGCCGAGTTTACCAAGGGCTGAGATGACTCAGAGCTGAGTTTATCCAGGGCTCAGAGCTGAGTTCACTGAGCTGAGTTTATCCAGGGCTAAGCTTACCCAGGGCTGAGCTGAAGGGGATTTTCACCACCAGTAAAGGACGCCGTGCCTGCAATATTTCGCTTGCTTTATTATCAAATTCAGACTGTTTACATCTGTCATGTCAACGAGATGCCACAACTACAAAAAAAGATTGTGCCACGTTGCAGATTCCGATGCAAAAAACCCGGTAAAATGCTCATTTCACCCGTTTAAAAAAAGGACTTAAAATTTTACTCCAGAAAGCAACTGGGTGGTTTTTTTTGTTGGTTTTTTTTTTTGTTGTTGTTGTTGTTTTTTTCTGAACACCTTTAACATCCAGTCAAAACTCATACAGTTAACGAGGAGAAAAGAGAGAGAGAGAGAGAAAAAAAAAAACCCAAAATAAAAATCGGGAAATAAAAATAACAAGCCCTGGTTTTGTGTTAAAGAGATAAAAAGGAGGGAGAGGAGGAGGGGGAGGAGGAGGAGGAGGAGGCTCAGGCGTTGCGGTCGATCCGCACGTCGATCTCGCGGCCCCGGAGCTGGATCCCGTTCATCATCCGGCAGGCGCGTTCCGCCACCTCCGGGGACTCAAACCTCACCACCCCACAGCCCTTGGACTTCCCGTTCTCCATCTTGATGTCGGCGTAGAGGACGTGCCCTGAGGGGAGACACGGTGGGGAGGGGGGTTAGAGCACGGAGAGAAGGGATTTTAAGACTCGTCGGGAAGTGTTCCATCATCCCCACAGCACCATGGGGTAATCAGAGCTCCAATCAGTCCAGTAGCTTAATTACATAGGGAGCCTCATCTCCTTGGATGGGGAGTTGATGGAGAATCAGAGAATCATGGAATCAGCTGGGTTGGAAGGGACCTCTGAGATCATCCAGTCCAACCCTTGATCCAACCCCGCTGTGGTTCCCAGCCCATGGCACTGATGCCACATCCAGTCTCATCTTAAAAACCTCCAGGGATGGAGAATCCCCCCCTTCCCTGGGCAGCCCATTCCAATGGCTGAGCACCCTCTCTGCAAAGAAATTCTTCCCAATATCCAACCTAAACCTCCCCTGGCACAGCTTCAGACCGAGCCCTCTTGTCTTGCTGATGGTTGCCTGGGAAAAGAGACCAACCCCCCCCGGCTCCCCCCTCCTGTCAGGGAGTTGCAGAGAGTGAGGAGGTCTCTCTCTCTCCCCTGAGACCTCATGTCTCTCCCATGCAGCAACCACAGGCTGGGGACAGAGGGGCTGGAGAGCAGCCAGGCAGGAAGGGAGCTGGGAGTGGGGATGGACAGGAAGCTGAACAGGAGCCAGAGTGTGCCCAGGTGGCCAAGAAGGCCAATGGATCCTGGCCTGGCTCAGGAACAGTGTGGCCAACAGGTCCAGGGAAGTGATTCTTGCCCTGGACTCAGCACTGGTGAGGCCACCCCTGGAGTGCTGTGTCCAGTTCTGGGCCCTCAGCTCAGGAAGGACATTGAGGGGCTGGAGCAGGTCCAGAGGAGAGCAACGAGGCTGGGGAAGGGACTGGAGCACAAGTGCTGTGAGGAGAGGCTGAGGGAGCTGGGG